ATAAGGCCTATTCTCGTCTAAGACCCTGCGTACCGGGGCAGTTTTGAGAGTCAACGATCAGTTTTTGTCCTGCTAATGTCCCTGCCTTTCCCGGGTTGGGCGGCAGGGGGGGAGGGGTAGGGATTTACTTTGACTGGTGCATAACAGTTAAGATCAAAGCTCATTCAAACTGTATGAACAATGGCCATTTCCATTTTTTATCTGCACCCCTCCCCCTATTGAGGGTCTAGGAAATCTGAGCGGGGAGGGAGAGCCTTTCAAGGCTATTTCTTTGGTGGGAACTGTGTCGGCACCTTTTATGTGTTAATAAATTCTGAAGGGAAGTGTGTCGGCACTTTGAGATTCCTTTCTTGGGGGTAAAAGGTTTACTTTTCTGAGGGTATATGATTTAAAGTCCCTAAATACGGGGCTGGGGGGAGAGAGAGGGGTCGATATTAAAATGGAATTGCCTGATATGGCTGGTAAAGGGCCATTCCTTTTTTCATCCAGAGGATACACAAGTCGATTCCGAAGTTTTTGCTTGCAATAACCGGCGGGTTGAATGTAACTAATGTAACTCGCCTAGTTTTGCAAGCCACTGCAGTTTTTTGCTGTTGTTTTTTCTGAGTTTTTAATTTTGCGTCAACGTTTTATTCAGTAAATGCTACACTTGGCAGAAAACACAAAGGTTTTCCTTTTGTGCGTGAAATTCCGCACAAGTAATTTCTCCATCTTTATCAAATTTATTTTCATGGAACGGATTATCCAGGTTTGATACGACTAACTAACGAGCATTTATTTCTTGTGGTATATATACTTCATTGCGCATCCCTACTGCGCATGACTATTGTGTCATTAGCACGTGCAAATGAGGGTGTGCACGTACATAACGCAAGAGATTTCCCTCATGACAGTGAAATAAATCGCTGCAAAATGAATTGTACGGTGACCTATATTTTTTATTACATAAGTTTGGTGTACAAATTACCGTCTTAAAGTTAAAAAATTAAGAAAAAAATTGTTCAGAAGGAAAAAAAGATGTGGCTAAAAGAGTGCATGAAACTGATACTAGAGGATGCGAATTATGACCTGGAAAACAACGTTTCAAGGAATGTGGTGAGTCAGTGTCATTTAGAATTGTGTGATTTTACCATAAATTATATATTTCATTGTTCCATCTGCCCGATATTGTGTACCTATCAAGATTTTTTCAAGCATTACTTTAATAACCATTGCTTCCAGCTACTGCAAAATGTAGCTTGAACTGATGAAATATCATGTGTGATTAGGCATAAATTGGGCAAGATCAGCCCATCACATCTCTTTAGCGAGAAAGGTGACCTATCGTTTTTATTGGATTTTTCAATACAGTGCCTGGTGGAGAACATTTAGGGGGAGTTTAAAACAAATTGTTCGCCAACTTTCAAGACTTTGGTGCAGACCCTGCAGGTATACAACTTTGTTGAGTACCTCCCTCCCAAGGCACAAAATAAGTTATCCTAGCTGGTTGATTGGGTTTTGCAGATACA